TACGGGACCTTTTCCCCGTGCGTGACCTATAACAACGAATGCGTCCGGTATTTGGGTACGGGCGGTTGGAGACAGTCTTACAGCTGCTGTTCTTCCTCTGTCAACCAGACTTTTCTTTACAATCTTACATAGTAATTTGAAAAGAAATCATCTCATGAACTACCTCTAGCTATGTTCTTCACAAAATTAAACACCATGCCCTATTGCTGAAACAGTATGCGCGCGCTTAGATTGCTTCAAGGGCATTGACTAGCACGTGCATCTTACAGAATCCTTATTACTGTACATCGTCGTGTGAGATCGATGATGATGATTGAAGTCAAAAGACACACGTCCACAGGGTTACAGTTCCTCCGGACCGTACGTGACAACAACCCAAGAGGCAGTAACCATGCATTATTCTATTACAGAAGTGGCTTACAGTGATAGTACTATTAGGATAGATATTAGGCTGTCTCGGACAGGAGACCCAAACCGTCCCCAATAATATAGCCTCTAACAGAGTATCTATATGGAAGATCTATTTTGGGTGTCATGAGAGGTATAACCCAAATCTGAGTATTCTCCCTCCTGTAAACTTATTTGCAGAAATGATTCTCTTTTGAGTTTTGTTGTTGGAGAAGACAAAAAATGGGTATCGAACTTTTTACATGTAGCATTATCAAACGTGAAATATGACTTTATTTTGAGTAAACGGTTGTCGCGGAGACAGTCAGTGGCAGGAATAAATAAATAATAATGGCGGTTGGCGGCGCTAACGCGCGTACAGCTGGGTATTTCATTCCAATCATCATCATTTACGTACTAAACTTCTCTTTCGGTGGGCACGCATGTGGACATGACGGAGGAATTGCATGCCATTTGCTTCCACTGAAAGCAACGTCTCTGATCACAGCGCTAAATTCTGAAACTAGTTGCAGCAGCTATATATATCTTCGAGACGTTACGTTTGTTGCAACTCGCAAGATGATCGACTTCGTTTAGTTTGTAGCCGTTCTAGTTGTACATTTATTCATGCGACGATTTATTTTTGCAATACTGACCCAAGAGAAAAGAAATAATCAGAAATGATATGGAATAAACGGATGGCAAGTGAAAAAGGTTGGCAATTCCGACTTCCCAGTAACATCCAAATCCAAAGTATAATTCCAATTTGGAGTCCCTTTTTATCCCATAAAAACATCAACTAAAAATAATATATACTCCAAACGCCTTTGTTTTTTTTTTTAAAATGAAGGCTGGCAGTAGCCCGTAAACCACCTGAGCAAGTGCATGCACACTCCTCGCTCCTAGCTTTCAAGTGGCATAAAACCGACGGCAGGGGCCTAAGCAAACTAGTCAGATATATATATTGGCCAACAGATTCAAGGCCGCAGCATGCATATGGTGGGCAATGCATGCAAGAAGCATCATCCTTCGTTCATCCTATAAATCTTTTTTTTCTTCCGTGAGCTGACCAGTTTGGTTTGGCGGCGGACTCCTTTTGATTCCCTTTTCCAATTTTATATAAGTACCTTCCATAGCTTTTATTTACTAGGATGACTATCCTGATTTCGCTCGTGTTTGTTTGTTTCCATGGTAGAAAAAGCGGGTGGCTAGGGTCCGAACGTCTGGACGGATGCGCGCGTTTGGACGTATGCGTAGCCCGCCCCTGTCCTCCTCGCCCCGCCCCGCACATGCGCCCCGCCCTTGTCATTGTGCCCGCGGCTCCTTCCCAGCGACCTCTCTCCTCTCTCCGCGCAGGCGAGACCCGAGAGCCGGGGTGAGGACGAGCATGCCCCCGTCCGCTGGACCCAGACGCGCCACGCGCCTCGACCGCCAGCAATCGTCTCGCCGCGCCTGTTCCCCCGACGCCCGGGCCATGCCCCATGACTCTCTGAACACACCTCTAAAATATGAAACACTTGAATGTAACATACGTCTGAAGCAGATGAAAATATTTGAAAATACACTTGAAACTTGTGTGCGAAACATATGCAACATCCAGATATAACATTTGCAATTTGCAACATGAAAACACTTACTGCAACATAAGACTGAAACAACTGAAACCATTGGAACATACTCTTGCAACATGTGTGAAACATATGCAACATGTGTAAAACTTATGCAACATATGAAACATTTTTGAGCAAACACTTGCAACATGCCTCTTAAACACTTGCAACATATGCAACATCCCGATCTGCTTTTGTAACATCCACATGAAACACTTGCAACATACCTCTGAAACATATGAAATACTTAAAACATACGCTTGCAACATGTCAGGCGTGGCACTCTAGTGTCTAGTGGGCGGCCGCTACCATGTCAGGCGCGCTGAGGAACTCGATAATCACCTTGATGGGCAGAACGGGGCTGGGAGGCGACGGAGCGAAGAGCACCACAAACTTGGCCCCCTGCGAGCTTCTTCTTTTGCTACCGGGGCGCGAGGAGCCTTGAGGCGGACACAAAGTATGGCACGGTTGCGACGCCCTCGCCGTCTCCAGCCAAAGGAGGAGGTGAGGAGGAGGAAGCCGACGCCGACGACAGTGATGAGGGCGGGGGCGGGCGGGAGGCGCGACTCCCGCAGCGGAGCTTGGCGTCGCATAGGCGGGCAAGGCCACAGGGCGGAGGAAGCGGAGAGGAGCCTACGGCGAGCGCGGGGCAGAGGAAGTGGAGCGGAGCCTACGATGAGCGCATGAGACAGAATGAGAGATATTTTTTTATTTGGGAAGACAACGTCCGAATGGTTTTTTTATTTGGGAATACGGTGCCCGGACGGACAGACATCCTCACTGAATCATTATCGTACAAAAAGGTGAAATAAAATTGCATGGTTTTATCGAACATTTTTTTCATGCATGGTTGAAAGTTATTTCATAGAGCGGAACATTACAAATTCTAGAAATCAACCCGACCCTGATTGTCTACAACATTTTCTTTTGCTATATTTTCTCAAATCTTTAGGGATTAATTATTTCACTACCGAGGACATTTATTTTTCTTTACAAATGTTTTTTTTCCAGCAGTAGAAACATTACAAAGATAACTAGTGTTTATATGTGTGTGTCTCTTTCCTCTTTTGCATTATGTAGTCTAGATTACCCTATAATATAGTATAAATATAATAAATAGAATTTATAGCGGATTGAACATATCACAGGTAGAAACTTAGCATTAGCGCTTGCTATTGCTCTTGTTAGGCCACTACTTGCGACACTGCACGTATGGTTCAAGCAACAATGGGGATGGTCCAATTGCTAAAAAACGTTGAAGATGGTGATTTGAATTGAACGACGATGATCGATGATGGGACGAGAAAGAGTTTTCTAGTTCATTACATGAGAACTTGAAGTTAATTTCCTCCATGCGTGATCTTTATATCTTATTTATTGAAGATTTTTTTATGAATCTTATACCGTGAAGTGTAATGACTAATTAAAAACTTTTATTTTTTTAAGCGAACACCGTGCCAATATTGATAATATTTTACTATTCATTCAACAGAAAAAGATTGATACCAATAATGTCGAAAATTAGCAACTGCTATCCGCAATGCACTATATTCAGACAGTAATATGCTTTCACTTACAATGAAAATTGACTTCAACATTTTAATATCTTTATTGCATTTTGTCATTTGCTCTCTAGTGGCATCCTCCTTAAAAAATATTATTGGCCGAATTTCAGAAATAAAAAAATAGATGAAAATTGTGTTTAACATGAGCATGGCAACGTCAACCACCGCACGCCTTTATTTGAGTGCGCATGGACCGGAGATATGGACTAATTAGCTCTCTGCGCTCAGAACAAACCTACAGGACCATGGTTTTTATTTCTATATATAGCTCTGATATATTATATACATAATTACACGCATCAGTTGAACTCAACATTAATGAGCTGACCTGATCATGATGATCTCAACTGGGCGGATACATGATAACTCCTTTCGTCGCTGTTTCTTTCAGATTTCAGAGTCGTCGTCTTCCGGCGGCCGACGACGAAGTAGGCTATAGACTCGACTACCCAAGAGATAAGAGAGAGAGAGAGAGAGAGAGAGAGAGATCAAAAGCGCAAAAAAAAAAGGACGACTCTGGCCTCATTGTTATCTCTGCTACTATCAGTATATCGTTTCGAGCAATTAACTAGTGCACGTCATTTTCAGGTGAAAAAGAAACCCAGTACCTAGCAAAAAGTTGTTTCTCAGTCACGTGAAATAAGTAGGTATGTACGTGAAGTTAGCACCATCATTATCTTATCTACTAGCAGCAGCATGTTCGGTTGGCTGATGTGTTTCGTTGCTAATTGGTGAAGAAGTACTGTTGGCTAATTTATATGAGAGAAAAATACTATTCCAGCTAAAAATTTACGATCGTTTACGACAAACCAAACGGACAGGCTGTAGTCTAGTAGCACGTTATGCGTGATAACAAAGCAAATGCACGTGCCACACTGTCAACCCGACAACAAGTGGCAGCAAGGGTTATTTTTTTACATTACAGCCGTGGTGGCGAACGCGCGCCTTTACCGAGAGAGACGAGACGTGTGTACTCCAGCACGTACGATCGGAAACGAAAACAGTGGCCGCCGGATCGGATCCCAAACCGTGGTCCGCACATCGTCTAGCAGCAGCAACAGCGGCAGCTTCCTTTTCCTCGGCCGTTGAAAAGTCGAGTGGAAATGCGTGCCTGCTTTTCTGCTAGGAGTGTACGTACGGAGCGTGAACAGGGCGGCAACTCACAGCACAGCAGCTGCCGTTGCCTTTGCCGCGTTCCACAGTCTCCACAGACTCCACCGCGGCGCACTCGACAGCCACACCACCCGCACCCGCCTCTATATAAGCACGCCCGGCGCACGGCTCCGTTCCCCACAGCAACTCCGCTCGCTCCTCCACCACCTTTGCGGCTTTGCCTCCTTTTTGCCATCCTCTTCCTCCTCAGCACCGCACCGCAGTTGTTGCTGCTTCCACACGCACGCAGCAGCAGGCTAGGCAAACAAAGGAGGATCGGAACAACATGTGTGGCGGCGCGATCATCTCCGAGTTCATCCCGCAGCGCGACGCCGCCCGCGGCGGCGGCAAGCGGGGCCTCTGCGCCGAGGACTTCTGGCCGCACTCGGCCACGGCGGCCGCCGACTTCGACGACTTCGCCGCCGCCTCCTTCCATCCCGACCAAGGTAATACTCCTGTTCATTTGCACGCTTGCTACCTGTGACGACGGCCAGCAGGACACACGCTACAGCTAGGATAGGACACACACTCGACCGCCTGAACCTGACACCCGTGCATGGTGCAGAGCCGCCGGCCAGGAAGCGGGAGCGCAAGACCATGTACCGCGGCATCCGGCGCCGCCCCTGGGGCAAGTGGGCGGCGGAGATCCGTGACCCGGCCAAGGGCTCGCGCGTCTGGCTCGGCACCTTCGCCACCGCCGAGGCCGCCGCGCGCGCCTACGACCGCGCCGCGCGACGCATCCGCGGGGCCAAGGCCAAGGTCAACTTCCCCAACGAGGACCCGCCGCCCGACTACGACGACGACCACGCCGGCGCCGCGCAGGGGATGCTCGCCATGTCCTGCGCCGGCGGCACCAGGGACCACCTCGTCGACTACGACGTCGATGTCATGGGCATGGGGACGTTCTTCCAGAACCACCCCAACCCGCTCTACGACGCCGTGGCGCAGCAGGACCAGGTGCCCACGGTGGCGTACGTGCACCACCACCAGCTGCCGCCGCCGCAGGACGACGCCGCCGGGATGGAGATGTGGACGTTCGACGGCATCAACACGGCCGTGCCCATGTGACGTGATAGACAACGCGTCATATGCTAGCTGCTGCGTCCTGCTTTGTGCTTTCCCTTCCTGCTTATATATAAACATGTTGTTGCTTTCAAATATTAATTTATATATTTCGTTACACTATAGTGTATAGGAGTAATTCATCTGCCCATGTAACTAGGGGTGGAGTCTAGCATCTCACAAACACTGCTTGTTCCCTTCTTCACTTAGCAGTCCTTGTGCAAATATGAATTCTCCAGGAATAAATTCCCATCTCACGAACAGTTCTTGTGCAAAGATGACTTCTTCAGGAACAAATTGCCGTTGTTTCACTCACCTTTTTTTTTTTTGTCACCAATAAATAGTATCGCTGATTTTGTAGGTACATAGATACTATGTACAATACAAATATGTCAGCTCATTTTGCAGCTACCTTGTACAAACTGTTGTGAAATGACGCATGTTAACATCTTTCCAAAGATGATATCGTCCATTGACTAAAAGATTAGGCTTAGGGTCAGTCATCCGTGATTAAGAAGATTAGGTTTAGGATTAGCAATTACATGTCACAAAAGGGACTTGTCTTTTGGCAATAACTGTGTAATTTACGTTGTCTATTCATTCATGAAGAGACACAATTTTCTTTCATGTACGTATATATCCCCAAGAGATCGATGAAAATAACAGTTCTTCCATTCGTTTGTTCTTTTACATTTCGATTTCACCACAAACATGTCACCAATGGGCAATGAGTCCTTTCGTTTTTGTTTTACACAAGTACATTTCACAGGACATATGTTCCCACGGTGGTAACCAAAATGGACTATAGGATCAGTATACTTCGTTTCAAGAAGGCGGTGCCACTGTTAAATCGTGAAAGCGCAGAATTTAAATGAACAAATTTCGACAATACAGTTGCCAAGCGATCATAGATGCGCAATGCAAAAAGGCCAGGTATACTTTCACACAGTTACCACCCATAAAGATATGGGATTATCTTCGTGACGGACTGACAACACAAGTCCCACGGCGCAAATAATTGGAGCAAAATTTATTTGGTCCGATATATCAGGTAATAACACGAGATTCTGACATCTAAACACTGCAACTCTGGCACCAAAACAGTAATGTTTAGCTGATACGAGCAAAATGGCATGGATTCGCTAGGCTGCGGCCACTTAGACCTTGAAGCCCCTGCTGTTCCTCCTTCCTCTTGCCTTCTCAAACTTCCTCCCCTTTGAGCGAACGTATGGCTTGGTGTGGCTGTGTGGCACTCCTGGTGCAGGGCCGAAGTGCCTGACAGCTTCCCTGGCGTTCTTAGGTCCCCTCAGGAGAACCTATCAAGAAATCATAAATTACTAGGACAGTTAGAAAACACATTGAACTTTTCTAATCAATATAAATAATTTCAGCGGGTGACAAGATCAACTGTAGCACAAAGGCATACAGCTAACAATAATAAATAATAAATAATAAATAATAAATAATAAATATAATATACAGAGGCACAGTGGGAGTTCCAGAACTTGGAATGAAATCAAGGGATCATATCTGTCATCTCAGAGGATACAATGGGTGTCGTAACAATACAAAATTTTCTCTTCATCTTTACTACCATAAAAGATGGGAAATACTAATGATCATGTCAGTCAATACACATGGAGTCATAGCATTAGCTGGCACGCCTTGTGTTGAATATATATGGTGTCAGTACACGGAATACTGCCATTTCAACGTGAGAAGGATGATATCTAAGCTCAAAGGTGATAGAACTTCTTCTGAAAACATATTGTAGTTGGTAGCCTACACTATAGTGATATAGTCATAACAAACATGATATGTGAAATGACCCATAACAGTTCAAATAATAAATTAGTACTTCTATTCGACTGCTAGGATAAATGGATAATGCACAGCCATAAGAAAACACATTTTGGTCCAAACATTTGAAACCAGGCAACCTAGGATCGCATGTCAACCTTGACATATGCACCTTAAATAAGTGTATCATGTGAAAATTTAGAAATATCTTCAGAAAAGAGAGGAACTTTCCTGCTCAGATTCCATTGAGCTTCAAAAGTCTAATGTAGTGGGCACTGGGCAGCACTTTCAAAGCAACGAGAAATGAGGCAGCAATATTTGAAACAAAAACTTTCTAATCAAACAAGCATGTATGCGTTCATATTAAATCACTAGGACAATTTCAGACAGCAAACTAATATTGGTTGGACCATTTGACACCAGGGCAACAATGAAAATGCAATGGGCTGGTAAGCCAACCATGTACGTCTATGCACCAGTTTTATCTCCTTGGATTGGAAAGAAGCCCAAAGAAGAGGGTAACAGATGCAATCTCTGGTCATAACATAACTATTTCATAACCAAATGATGACAAGAACAAAGCCTATCTCAACTAAATCAGAGTACAGTACTTGCTCAGCCAAAACCCATTGAGCAGCATTAGTACCATCCACCTAGACGGGGCCTCACAAAGTTACTACAACTTTTTTTTTTAGAATTCCAGGGAACTTGTCGCTGTCCATTGCATTGCACCAGGACAGAACACTCCGTGTTTACAACCCATTAAACATCACCTACATGTTCAGCATAATACTCCAGACGTATTGGAGACGCAATGGAGTACAGCAAACATACAGGTCCGACTAACTAGAATTATCTTTTGCAATCTACAAGACTTCCACTGATTCATACAAGAAATGAAATGTACGGTATCAAGCATCACCGTGAGCAATCACCAGGTGAATTTCCAACATAAATAGACATACCGTGTTTTGCCCGAGCGGGGCACGGAGCGCGAGCTGGTCGAAGGTGAGGCACTCTCCACCGGCATTGATGATCCTGGCCCTCGCCGTCTCAGTGAACCTGAGCGCACACACCTTCATGGCTGGCACCTCGTTGATCCTCTTGTCGTCGGTAACGGTGCCCACAATCACGGCGATCTGATCACCCTGCAGCCCCACAAGGCACATGAATCGAAATTAACCCTCACATCAAGGGTGTTGACAAAGACCAAAATGGCATCCCAAGGTACTAGATATCTACCTTCCCCTCCATGAACTTGACGAGGCGGCGCATCGAGAGCGGCGGGCGGTTGGTCTTGCTCATGAACAGCCGCTTCAGGATCACGGCGTTGAAGTTGCTCTTTGTCCGGCGCACAAGGAAGCGGTAGAGCTGTGTGCGAGGAGCGAATCGCGTCAAATCTGAACGCCCGAACACCAATTGAATGGCGAGAGCGTGAGAGAACTGGGTCGGGAGAGGGGCTCACCTTGGCGAGGAGCATGAGGTAGACATCGTCGGACTTGGGCGCCGTGCGCTTGGTCTTCTTGTTGCGGCCGCCGGCGACGAGGTCGATACCCTGCGGAGGAGGTCATCGTGTAAGTCAGGTAGCGGGTTCTGAGGCCGACGACGAGGAAGAGGAGCAAGACGAGATTACCATGGTTGTGTGACCGCGCGGTAGCTGCTGCAGCGGCGGGGACGGCGGCGGCGGCGGGACGGGCGCTAGGGTTGTAGTGCGTGATGGGAGCGTATAGAACTTAAATACGGGGCCAATGACGGGCAAGGTAGATGGGCTGGGCCATTTTCTTGCGAAGCATTGGGCCAAAATTACTATTAACTAGGCTGGGCCAAAACCAACATGAAATATTTCGTTCATTAGCCAGCAAGGCCTGGACGTTCAATGGTTTAATTGTGCGTCAATCTGCCTGCTAATCAATCAACATTCACTAGAAAATGAGGTCTTCGATGGCCAGGTCTAAACTAGCATTAGCTACCACAATTAAGAAGGTAGAGAGGTCAAAAACTTTAAATAGTGTGATGATAAGAATTAGGCTTTTTTCATCCAATTCATCAATAGCACACCTAGGATGAAAAACACTCCATGAAAAGGCAGGTATAGCTTCGGTGTCTCTCTTCTTTTTAGATGAATGAACATATTCTTCGTTTCTCTTGAGGTTGATGGTCATGTCTAGTCTTTGACCTCTAGATTATATATATGTACATTATTTGAGCAATTTAAAATGAAGGACGCGTCTCCACAAAAAGGAATAAAATAAAAAGACATGTGCCTACAAGCATGGACTTAGAAAAATGTACATTTTAAGCAACATGTTTGGTCTCCAAATTCTGAAAATAAAATCCATGAGATGGCCGTAATAAATCAGTACCGCTGACCAAGGTGGCATCTCTTGACATTTTCACATTGCACGGAGATGGAAAAGGACGAGACTTTTTTAGATTAAACATATGGCATGGGAAAAAGGTGTTAGAAAACCACACAAAATCAATCTGAAAGATATATAGATAACCATGCAAAAAAAAGTCACGCAACAAGCTTACGCGCACACAGCTGATGAAGCATGACACCAACATTTTGATTGGCCCCGTTAGAACAGAGGCTCTCGCAACCAACCCGATGTGTAACTATTGTAAATTTTGCAAACTAACAAATTCACTGTCACGGTTATTGCAAAAGTACAACTATTTAAGAAGTTGTATCATAAAACTACAAATTGGTTTTTGAAGCTATCGCAAAATTACAAATTTAAGGAGTTATATCACAAAAGTGCACATTTAGCGTGTCATAGTATCACAAAACTACGTTTAATAAGTTGTGTCATAAAACTATAGATTTAGTGTTATATAGTATATCAAATAACTACATGTTTCACCCATCTAAAATCTGTAGTCTTTGACCTCTAGATTATACATGTACATTATTTGAACAATTTGAAATGGAGCGTCTCCACAAAAAGGAATAAAATAAAAAAGACTTATGTGCCTACAAACTTGTTTTATCTCCAAATTTTAAGCTATTCGGCCTGTTCGCTGGTTGGTTTCTGAGCTGATAAGTCCGTCTGGTGCTGGTTTATTGTGAGAGAAAAACACTGTTGGCTGACTGATAAGCCATAGCTAAAACCAACAAGCGAACAGGCTGATTGTGTGGTGGAGACAGGCCAGCCAAATTCAGCCTTGGCATGGCTGAGTTCAATTGAACTAATTAATCTTCC